TATATATATATATATATATATATATATATAATATATATCCCTTTGCGGTCGTTTGTCTACTCTCAGCCACCAAAGCTTTTTTACCGTTCGGGTCGTATGTCTGCTCTCAGCCACCACAGCAAGGAACCGTACGAATCTTAACTCTATTCATTCATGTATCAGTTCATAATTTCTCTGAAAGCTCTTAATTCTGACCAGTACGACACCCATGTCCAAATTTAATACGACCACAAAGGGAGATATATATATATATAATATATATATAATTTTTACTGATTTGAGAGAGAGAGAGGGGAATGGAGAAAGAAAAGGGAGAGAGAGAAGGAGAGAGAGAGAAACATCAATTTGTTGCTCCACTTATTTATGCATCCATTGGTTGGTTCTTGTATGTTCCCTTATGGGAGATCAAACCCACAACCTTGGCGTATCAGGAAGATGCTCTAACCAACTGAGCTACCTGGCCAGGTCAAGAATATTTTTAAAAAGAATTATAAAGTACTTATTTAGTTTATTGTATACAGTCATAAACTGTATAACATTTTGGTCAATGAGGGACCAAATACACGACTGTAGTCCCTTTTAAAATTATAATGGAGCTGAACAATTCCTATTGCCCAGTGACTATTGCCATCATAGGTGATGCTGGTGTAAACAAATGTACTGTATTGCCAGTCATGTAACAGTATAACACATACAATTATGTACAGTACATAATGCTCAATAATGGTAATAAACACCTATGTAACTGGTTTATGCATTTACTATACTATACTTTTCATCATTATGTTAGAGTGTACTCTTCATACTTACAAGTTGACTATATTTGGAGTTATGTAACATCATACATATGAGCACGCGTTCAAAATAGGAAGTAAATATATATTTACGTAGCAATACATTAACTTCAATAAACTACAAACAGCAAAAGCAAGGTTAAATATTGTCTCCCTGAAGAATATGATTATTTCAGGACATGGTAGCTCAGGAAGGACACTGCACTGATTTATCTCAGTGAACTATGAAAAACAATGAAGTAATGTAAAGATGCGTCCCAAAAAAGGCTTTATAAATAATGAAATTCTTGCTTTTGATCTGGGAAATTACATAAAATTAAATTCCATTCATTTTTTATATTCTTACCCCATTTGATCTTTGTCAGTTCAGGTTTAATAAGCAAGATGGAATTTTGTACTTTGCAAATAAATGGCTTAATTAAATCATGATAAAAAATGTCTATATTCATATTCACATCACAATGTTTTGTAGGGATGAGTATGGCCAAAAGAAAGGTTATAAACTCATGAATAGGCTATTCATCTGAATTATCAATTTTTTCACCTTACTTTATAGCCATACCTCATACCACCACCAATATAGCTAGTAGTGAAAACAAAAGAAAAATACCCCATAATGTGGAAGACCCCATTTTAAATCCTTTTAAGGCTCTCATTCAGAAATCCTTAAAACATAAGAACTTTCGAGAATAACACTAGCTCTTTTATAATGCATTCTCTATAACACTGTTTTTCTTTGCAAGAACAGGAAAGAGACCAAAGTAAATACAAAATAAATTAAATCGAAGTGGATTTTTCCAAAGTATAGTAATATTACAAATGCCCAGTTTGTTTCTTGGCTGAATGTTGAGCATTCAGTGTAAATAAAAACCTGTTAAGAAGAAACTACACATTAAACCCTAGTGGAGCTTAGCTTTATATTACATTTCAAAGGGCCTTGCTAACATCAAAATTATAACTTTTTGCTTCTCAAAGTTAATACCCAGCTCACTAGAAATTTATTTGTAAAAAGAAACGGTCACTGAGCAAACCCACTATTATAACTGTTTTACTACTTGTTGGCTACTCCATTCTTGAACCATTTATTTTTAATTTCTATGGATGACTTTATTAAAAAGGCTTTTCAAGCCCAGGTTCCTTACTATTGTAAAGGCACCTTCTTACTAAGTACATTAGGTACTGTTTTAGAATGATCTGTTTCACAGATCCTCTGACATTTAGCAAGTCATGAGAACTGCTGACAGTCCTTCTAAACACACATTCCTTTGTCATGCATTTCTTACGCAAACAGTAAGTTAGGCCCTGTGCTAAGTCAGGCATAATGCATGAACAGACCACAGTCCCCTTAAGGGGACACGCAAACAATTTCTGAAACATGAAAAGAACTAGGACAGAGAAATGTATAAGGTGTTCTAAGAGTAGAGCAAAGAGCCAACTCTGTCCAAGAAGGTTCACAGAGTGACTTTTCTCCTGAAAAAAATAAATGCACTCAAGTCCTCCCACTTATAGCTTAAAACTCTTCCCCCGTGGCCACCATTCTTCTGGGTAGCCTTCGCTGAAGCACGACGTACCCAACCTGTTCAAAGAACCCCAACTGGCGTACCTTGTGGCTTTGGACTTGCAGCTGTGTGTTTTGCTGGCGTTTTTCCATTTATTCCCTGAGCCTCTTCATCAGATTCCTTCTGATCAATCAGTTCAGTTGTGCTGCTTTTGAAAAAGGGTGGAACGATAGTGACCTTTGGACAGGTACTGCTGCCTGGGAGAGTTCAAAGAGAAAGGACAGGTAAATGCGGAGGCAGAGCACAACCAGGTCTCATGACTTCATTTCTTCTGGCCCCATAAAACAAAAACAATCACAGTTACAAAACTAAGCATAGAAGTACTTTTCCCACGTGTGCTGACCGCGCGCGCGCGCACACACACACACACACACACACACACACACACACACACACACGGGCTCGCAGCCCGCCCGCGCTCACTCACTCTCTCTCTCCCTCTCTCTCTCTCAAGCCCTTTCCTTGCAGGGCCACAAAAAAAGCATAACGCAGCTGCTATGATGTAGACGAAGCAGGCTAAGGAGAGAGCAGAGGGCCCGCACTAATCTGTTAAAAGCGTTCCTTTCCAGCGTGCAGTCCGTGAGCAACTCAAAAGAACAAAGCAGGAGAGCACCCACCTGACAGCTGACTACAGACTCTGAGAATGAGGAGAACTGCTTGACTAGAAATCAGCAAATACACACACACTCACTCGCTAGCTTATTCGACTCCACATCAGCGTATATAAGCTAATACCCATGTTTTCCCCCCAAATAGGGAGATTATATGGAGAACCCTGTCTTATATTTACAACTCAAACCCCCCAAATATGCTTTAAAACAATGAAATACATCATGAGAGATAAAATATAAATTTTTGTTTGATTTCTGACGTAGAAGTGAAATGTTGAACTTCAGAGACTTTTTAACCTATGCCAATGTTTACTCTCTATCCTCATATTAAATTTCCCTTTCTTCGAGTTGACATGGTAATATTAATAACAGATTGGACCTTGCTTAGGAGAAAATAAAATGTCTACCAGGGAACTCACTATCACTAAATAAAAACATGCCATTTCAGAAACTGTGATTTGGTTAAAAACAAAGTGTTTCAATTTTACAGAACCTAAATGTCTATAAAAAGAGAACTATTCAAGATAAAAAGCATTATTCAAAACAAAAAAGCAAATAAAACCCAATCAACCTTCTAGTGAGTAAAAAAAAAATTTCTTTTATTTCAATTTATCGTTAAATAATATTAAAAACCACACTACTGCTTTCTTGTCTGTGCTCCCTTTAAAATTTATCTTGGTAACACCAATTTTAGAGGAGGCCAAGAGTTCCAGGTATTATCTGAGACGTTCTGAGAGACCCAGCACTAAAACAAATGCAGAAAGTTTTCGTCAGACACCAACCATTCTGCTAAAGCAGGCTGCCAGCTGGGTTTAGTATTTAGCCAAATATGACAAAGGCCTTGAATGTAAGATGTAGGGAAAATTATTTCACAGCGCATTACTAAAATTGTAAACAGAAGAAATAGAAGTGCATATCTTTAAATGTGTGACCTTGTCTACCTTCTTAGAAAAACTGTGGGAAGTAGGCAAAACATATCCGTAAATCTGCAGTATATCATCCAAATCATTAGTGAGTCTTTGAGGGGCATGAGCACATTTGTTCCACAGTGATCCCAAGAATGCTTTGGTAATCCTACAGGCCACCTGCTGGGGTGTAGTGAAGGGCGGCATGAACAGTGAAAACCCAGAGCCCAACTACAAAATCAGAGGCAGAAACTGTAATGTGACTGTAAAAAAAAAAAAAAAATGAGACCCTATGAAAGCAAGAATGCAGCTTTAGAGACAATTTATAGCAACAAAACTATAAAAAGTGGGCGGCTAATGGGTTAAATAAGAAAACAAACTGAATCTTACAAAAACAGATCATCACTGTTACTACTAAAAGAAAAAAGTACTTTAACATGAGCATATTTAGAAACAAGTCATGTCTTAAATCATTTAAATTGAAAACTAGTTACTTAATTTCTAGATGACAAACTCTGAGGAAATGATGAGTTTAACAAGTATATTTATTAGAGAGTATCTCACATGAATGTGCTGAAAAGCCTACAGTGAGAGATGAACTACAAATCAATTTTCTTATAAAGCCATTAAACTCATGATTACAATTCTTTTGTTTGTGACAATAAACCCATAGCCAGAAACTTCATATGAGATTACTGTTTAAAATCAGTCTCCAAATTATCACAAAGCATTGAAAATATGGTAAAACAAAAAACAAAAACAATAAACAAAAAACAAAACAGGCCCTGGCCGGGTAGCTCAGTTGGTTGGAGCACCGTCATCCTGATACGCCAAGGTTGTGGGTTCGATCTCTGGGGTAAGGGCACACACAAGAATCGACCAATTAATGAATGCAAGAATAAGTAGAACAACAAATAATAACAGAAAAGTTTTTTAAAAAATTTTTAGACTTTACTTTTATTTTCAGAGATCATATTCATTTCCCTCTGTAATAGAAGATTCTGCATCCACCCATGTGGTCCTATTTATTTATTCCTTAGCAACTGAAGCATTAAACGATGATAGTTTTTATTCTCAGTCTTTAATAACATTATATTCATTATACCTGAGATTGTTTAGTTTTCTCATGGAAAATAAAAACAAAAACACCCAAACACAAAACGTTATACTATCGACCTACTAGTTCTGTAGCACAATTTTAATGAAGAGTTTTACTGATAATTGGACAATTTATATGATATGGGCAGAGAAATATTAAGAGTGATTATAAAGTGGCCAGTCCTGTAAGGCTCAATCCACTTCAATAACTGATGGACACTGTCCTCTAGGTCTGGTTTAGTGCTGGGCAGCTGATGCACTATTTCTTCCTTATAGGATGAAATTTTTCATAAAGAATATGAAAAGTTTCATATTGAATGTTACCTTTTAGTTTCTTCTCATTATAACCCCTTGTTTCAAGCCTTTTGTACAATATACTGTCATCTGTTTTCAGCACAAAAACTATATGAAACCAGTGTTCAGGGAAGAAATCACAACCGTGGTCATCAATGATGGTTCGACCTTCCCTCATTTGGTTTTCTAACTCACCAACTACTCTATCTTCATCTAAAATGGGACAATCATACTCTTCATCTCAGCCATCATCACATAACTGCCTTTCTCCAGCTAAATCACCCACATTAATGTACTTCCGTCCTGATCTTGATGCAAGTTTTTTTTGCCTAGCGTGGTTTTTTCCACCCCTGGTATACCCATGAGCAAGATGTTAGGAAGCAACATGGTCCTCAGAGAGATGGCTCTAGAAAACACATTTTTAAATGGTTGGTTTGTGCTGTTTTTTGTTTTTTTTTTTAAAGCAATGACAAATATGCAACAGAAACCATATATGGCTGCAAAACTAAAAATATTTACTATCTGGCCCCTTACAGGAAAGTCAGCTGACCAGTGATCTAGGTCAAACATATAAGGTAAAGGAAGTTTACCTAAAAGATGCACCATTTCACTAAATACTTTATTTTCCAACATCTTGGATACTCACAATAAAAAGTTAAACTTCTTTTTTCTTGTTTACGACTGACTTGGCCTACTCACACTTGGAGACAGTTCGTTTTTTGGATGCCAGTTGCATAACAGAAAATTGAAACCGAAATTGTAACCAGATGGTCCACCCATTCAAGAAAATTTATATTAACTATAGAGGCTTTTGGGTTCCAATTTACCAAGAAGAACCAGAAGGAGTGATTAAACTGTTATCTTGGGCACAGATATAACTAGTCACATTATATTAGCATGGGAAGGGGGTCCTATTTAAATACTGTTTTAATGACTAGTAATCTTTTTTAGCCACTGGCCCGAACCATTTGGAATTCCTCTGTCTTTGGATTACTCACTTAAGCTTTTTGAGTCTTATCTCCTGCAAGGAATGTCTAGACATAATGCTAACTGTAGGGGCTCCTCAGATAGTCTCAATTAATCCAGCCTCATCTTTGACTGCATAAGGCTCCCTGTTCCAACTGAAGCGGTTGCCAACCCCTAAGACTTAACTTTCATTTATCTGTCTTCTTTTGCAGGGCACTTGTGAGTGGCAGATAATGCTTCTAATGGGTTTAGGGTGACTTTGCCTTCTGTTTCCAAAACTTTGTGTTGGACTGTTATGTTTTGCCAAATCATTCTTGAATGGCTCTTTCACATTTTAAGGTTGGACTTACTTTTTGGCCATCCCTTCCAAAGCAAGATCCACTCAGTTCTTGGATTCTTCAGGCCTAATCTCTTGCCATGGTATCCAAGTCCTCAGATCACATCTTTATGGCCTTCCTATGGCCGTGTCTATACTGCCGCATCCATCCATAACATCTCTCCCAATTGCACCAAGTCTCTAGCTCAAAAGATCTCAACAGACCCCACCCCTTGGGACAAGAAAATCTCTTGGATCTAAGAGGACAGAAGTCATTTTCTAGGAGTGACAATCTTTTTAGGGGAACATTGTCCAGAAGTAAGAAGATACTTTAAAAAAGAAAACAACTTTATTTTGAAATAATTTTAGATCTACATAAGAATTGCACCCAGGTTCCTGACTTACCATGTTACAAAAACATGGTATATTTATCAACAGCAAGAATTTAATAGTGGTACAACACTAAACCACAAATTTCATTCAGATTTCACCAATTTTTCCACACACATCCTTTTTCTGCTGCATTTAGTTTTTGTTGTGTCCCTTGGTGCACTCCAATCTGTGAGTTACTCTGTCCTTGGGTGTCTTGCATGACCTTGGAACTTTTGAAGGTCAGGCATTCTGTAGAAAGTCCCTCAAATTGGGCATATACAAACAATGAATATTATTCAGCCTTAAAAAGTAAGGAAAGTCTGACGCATGCTACAACATGGTTGACACTAAGTGAAACAAGCCAGTCAGGAAACACAAATACTGTATAATTCCACTTATATGAAGTACATGGAGTAGTCAGAATCAGAGACAGAGAGCAAAATGGTGGTTGCCAGGGAGTAAGGGGATGAGAGAATGGAAAGTTATTGTTTAATGCGTAGAGTTTAACCTTTGTAAGAAAAAAAAAGCTTCAATTTTGCAAGACAGATGGTGATCATGGTAGAATGCGAATGTGCTTATGCCAATGAACTGTACAGTTAAAATGGTTAAGACAGTCAATTCTGCTGTGCATTTTA